TCTCTTGACTACGCTCCAAATCTCGTTTTTGTTCTTCCAGGCCTCTTTTTTCAGCCATAATGGCCTGAAGAACCCGCTTCTGAGACGAGATATTCTCAGCATATTGCTGTGACTCTCTTCTTAATCGATCTAACTCCACCTTGAGTCCATCCCTCCCAATTTTAGCATTAGCCTCAGCTTCCAAAAAAGGAAGGAAATCCCCTATCCTCTTTAATCCATCTTCAGTCAGAGATTGCAATTTCTCCGCTATTCCTTGAGCCGACCTCGGTAATTTCACCATTATTTCCAACTCGGCCAGCGCTGGTCCCAACGGGTCATTTCTCAGAATCTTGAGGTCCTCAGGTTGACCATCTAAAAAATTATATATATATATATCTATACACTGACAAAGATAGGGGAACTCTCTTTATATAAAACAAACACCGACGATTCTTAATAATTAATTTTTACCTTCTTTTTCCTTCATCTCCTCTTCTTCCTCATCCTCTGACTCTTGCAGGAGGATAGGCAATTGTGAACCCTCCCCCTGATCCTCTGGGACCTCACTATACGATTCATTTGTCTCAACCCCTTCCCCAAAAGGCTCTTCAATTTTGTCCGAATCCGACATCACCAAATGAGCTTACGTTAGATTTTCTTCTCTTAAAAAGAAAAAACGAGTTCAACAACCCTTTTCTCTTAAGGATCCTTTTCTGACGCTAAAAAGGGGGAAAAACCAATACAAGTAGAGATATCCTTGCAAAAAGAAAATTGACAAAAACCATTTCTGGTAAAAAACCTCTCAGTCGAACTCCCCCGATGCTTATAATCAACCATCAAAGAAAAGAGGAGAAATAAAAATACCTCCTCCTCTAAGATGATCTGATCACGAGAACATCGGCACTGACTTCTCAAAAAATAATAAACACTTTTTTGACGAACCACTTGGGCGCCACCACACTCGTCGAAAAAACACTTCTTTGGCCAGCTATGGCACCCGACCTGATCAGGTCTTCGAAGTATAGAAGAAACAATTTTACGACCTGAGAACCAGGTCATCGAAGTTAAGTGAACTATACTCGACCTGCACGAATCAGGTCTTCAGAGCAAACTAAAAATAATAGGAATTCTGGGACTAGCTACCCCAAAATTCTTACCTTAAAAACCAAAAAACCGGGGATCTCTTTTTCAAAAAACTAAAGGCACACTCAAGGATCAAGCCCTCCAGCAAGAATCTCCAAGTCAGAAGCCTGATGGACAAAATTCCACATCCGACTCCCGACCAAGATCCTCACCGGACTTCGACCCAGGAACAACTCCGAATTTTTGAAAAAATTCACGCCCTTTTTATTTGCGTTGTCCTGAGCAACCCCTTCCGGAAAAGGGGTTACTCAAGGACAAGGGGGGGATTTTGTGCAGAATTTTTTCTCGACACCAGCGGCAGTGTCGATTTCCCTGAGAAGGGACAAATAGCTCGAGTTTACCGAAATTGGCGCGTCTCGGGACGCGCCCGGGGTTGTAAATTAATCCCCTTGGCGGGGAAACAGGCGGGATCAATTAACTTGCCGAAGTCGGCGCACCAACAATATCTTAACCCCCGGAACCGGGACAAAACAGTCGTCAAAAACGACGTCTCCACTTTATCAACAGGGGGACATCGAATCCCCCCTTTTTTCTTCTTTCTTTTCCGCGAAAACAGGGGTCATCTAACCCCTCCAAAACTCACAGAAAAACTCGACCATCTGCTGGCGACGCGTTCCCAAAAAATATCGTATCCTCTTCCCTAAAACGATTTATCTTCACAAGACCAAACCTTTTCTTAACTGTCAAGAAACACTAAAAGTACCAGCAAAAATTAAATTACTTCTACAAGCATGTTCTTTTCTCGTTTATATTTTTACAAGCTTTCGAAACACCCGGTCTTCGGGAACAACAAATTCAGCCTTGTAAAAGCTCAGCAAAATCGTAAAACCACCCTGTCTCCTGAGAAAATATTACGAGTCCAACTGCGAAATAGTGAAAAACACCAGCACCTGGTATTTTTCGTTACCCAACATCTGGGATTCCTTGAAAATATTATCCAACCCTCCCTGTCGAATTTTCTGTTAAAAACCCCTGATTTTTGGGGTGACGACACAGTCCGAATTTTGCCGTCGAAGCGTTTCGTTGCGTCGTGAATCTCGTACTTTGCCAGAAATTTTAACCTGCGAAAAACCTGTTGTGCATATTTGCGGTCCGAAAAACTGTTGTGAATATTTCTGTACTTTTGTGTTTTGCTTGCTGATTTATCTAACAAAGGCTTGCGCTTTTTTGGGAGAGAATCCCTGGTCGGTTCGCGCACCGGCCAATTGCCGTGTCACATTTTATTCATTCTACTTTTCAGCACTTCTCTGACCACACTTTCAAGTAACATCAAATATTGTCATAAAATTCTGAATCTTTTTTGCTGATCCTATAATTAATTTCAAAACAAGGTGTACGGCTTGAAATATTTCTTCTTGTAAAACCGTACATCCAGTTGTATTTCATGCTGTATTGTATTTTCTTTTATTTTGTTATCAATTTGTGCTTTCCTGCTCTGAAGTGATTAAATGTCATGGAGTGGATTTGGGTTGGGTGGGAAGGGGGTTTGGTTGTGGAAATCTTGATTGAACCTTGTGAACGCTGAAAAGCGGAAAATAAAGTGTTCTGTTCATCCATTCAAGAAAAGAAGAAGAAAAAAAATACTCACCAGAACTGTAGGGTACTTTTCTGTACTGGACTATGCTGTCCGAGGCAACGATCAGGGAGGATGTTTTCCCCTTACACTACAGGTTTCCGCGCTTTTGAGTTTCGGTCGACCACCCGGACGCCCTGGCGATGACGAAGGGCCCGACGGCGAGCTGCAGACGTGGCCGGCGATCCCGCTGACGGGCCGCTTGACGGATCACCCACCGAGGGCCCAGGTTTTCCCGTCCAGCCCCTCACATGGAAACAATGTTCCCGAGCTACGCAAGGCAGGCGACTTTTCTGAAAGAGGGGTTCGGAGACACTTTATGCCCGTATTTCAAACAGAGAGATAGAGAGAGAGAGAGAGGCACACAGAATGATGGAGAAAAAAAACATTAAAATCACACTTTCAAAACGCGATATTTGAAGCCCATTCACCTGCCTTATGGACGAATGGGCGATTTTTTTAAAAATTATATTGCAAATTCAACCTCAAATGGACCAGGATTCTCGGTTTTTACCCACAAATGTGAATTCACTGAGATGAAACAAAGCATTCCACAAGCCAGATTAATCTTCAATTGAGACTCTTTATTTTTTCTTTCATTGAGTATTCATTGAAACGGTGAACTTAAATGTTATTGCGGCACCACTGGGCTGCAAAAAAGGACAGCAACAGGCTACAAGCAGTGGGACACGTGAATAATGCATGGCAATCACCCATTTGTGACCAACAACATCCATTTGAAAAACATCTTGAATAGATGTATGCAATTCTTTTCTGAAGGTTCTGTTATTAATACAGTTAGACTCGCTCTCCCTCTTTCTACAATGAAGTTTAAGGGACCAGAAAAACTTCATTGTTGGGAACTCTGTATAACATGGGGAGTGAACCCCGTGGGACCAGCACAAAATTTGATCTACAGAGAAAATTTTTGTTGTCAAGATTGTTGTAGAGATAGTTTACGTGTTATTTGATACCAAAGATTATTTGGATTACACTATACTGCACCAAGCAAAAAGTTTGTAGAAAAAGGGCATCACTGCTGCCATTAAAATATGGTGAGACCCCAAGATGCGGACATAATTTGTGCATCAAGAGTGTCCAAGAGTGTCCCTAAGTCAAAATGTCCCTAAGTTGAGCCTCATTTTCCCGTAGACTTATATTATGTAATTTTAATTGGTGGTTTTTGTACAAAATACTCACCATAATTCCATGAAAATAAAAATTGTATCCCATTTTAAACTGATTCAATCAATATATTTCTACACAATATGGACATTTGGGGAATTGAATACTGATATTTCTGTAGAGTTGATAGAAATGTTGGCGTTCTCTGTAAACATAACATTCAAGTGAAAAACAGAGAAGGAAGTCCCTCTTTGCTGGAGGTAATTTTTTTAAGTAGCTAAATGAATGTTAAACTGGTGAGAGAAATGTTCAAGAACTTTTCTTACATCAATTTTAAGGTTAGAAATATCTGTTTCTTGTAATTTGGCCTGAAATGTATTTGCAATTTTATGAAAAAATGTCCCTATGTTGAGTCAGGGTCATCATGTTGGACCTTTTTCATAAATATGTTATGCTAAAAGAAATGCCCACATGTCCAATTGTCCTTAGGTTGAGGTGTCCGCATGTGGGGGTCTCACTGTATATTACTTGTCGTCTGAGTATTTTTGATGCGAGAATCTATACATGGTGAATTGCGCCACAAAATTACACTTGATTTTTAGAATTCTCCGAATTTTTTATCATAAAAATATACGACACTCAATTTATATTTGTTTTTCGATGTAGCACCATAATTTTGGGGATTTCCGAATCCATGAGTTGCCGTTCAAAAGGCATATAACAGGACCAAACAGTCTTGTACATTTTTTCATTGCTTGGCTGAATGAGGCCACTGAAAGTTATTCGATTCGTCCGCATTTTTGAGCATTACTTTACACACGTTCCTGCAATCATACACTGCAGATGAGAGGCTGGCTGACTGTTTAATCAATAAATGAAAAGAAACGTTGCCCAGCTCTACTCGCTTTTACCTGGGATCAGTCGTTAATCCGCAAAAAAAAGGGTAAAGTACAATAATCACAGTAGGACGAAGGAAAAAAGGGAAAAATATGCAGCCTGCGAGCGTCCGAACAGATGAGTCCTCTCTGCGAAAACGCCTTTCCGGACCAACCAGCGTCGACGACGACGGCGAACTCATCGGCACTTCGAAAATCGCTCCCTATCACGAACCGCAGCCGTCGGTGATGTCGGTGACGAGACCGAAACCGAGACCACGACCAGCAGAAAGGCCAGATGACTTGACACCTAAAAATTCGAGTCGATTCAAACAGAAGACCAGGTTCTCGACATTGCCGATGGTCAGCTTCTTGGGCCTGGGTTCGCACAGCACGGATGACGGGCTTCGACTTGGATCCGTATCTAGTTATGCGTCGAGCAAGCAGGCGTATAGTAAGACTGATTTGGGTCCTGCTACGATAGGTTCTGGGTTGGGTTCGAAATTCGTGCCCCGGCGACGTGGCGTGAGGGACCACCGTCTGGGATTCATGTCATCTTCCAAAATGTAATTCGAAAGTAGGAGTCAAATTTTTGTTTTTTTTTTACGATCTTATTGGAAATAATTACGGTTGACCCTAAATAAGTCGAGCCTCCCTAAATCCCTTTTTTCAAGTCCTGGTCTGAATTCCTTTAGAAACAATGCATCAAAAACCGTTTCTTGAAAACCTTTTTAACTCAAATAAATTTTTTTATGCTGTTTGGTCATTATTTTCTTGACACCAGGAAGAGAAAAGCTAAAAAAAAAGTAAGTTGATGTGTTTCAAAATGAAGTGAAAGACTAATTGGGAAAATGAACTCCTGCCTCCAAGTTTAGTATCCTGTATCCAGTACTCATTTAAGAAGCCATTTAAGGCCCAAAAAAAAAGTATGATATCCTGTAATTGGATTTTTCCAAAAGCAAAAATGCTTGTTTTTCCAATGATAGACTGGAATGCAGAAAAAATGCCACCCATCAGCAACTCGTTTTTTGCTGACAATTTTTCCGCAGGCATAAAAAAAAACGGAATTTTTCCAGACTTCAGCTCTTCGAATCATTCTTGTTTTCTCTATTTTTGTTTTTACTTCTGGCACAAAATTTTGCAGATGAATCCCAGCACTGCTGCCCAAGGGTTAATAATTCAATAATCTCTATATGCTTTAGTAAGTAAGGCAAGAGGAACTTAATTTTTTTTAGACTAGGAGGTGTAACAAAATACCCGTAAGAAAATAGGCAAGATGCTCGCAAGATGATTCACCGCAGAAATTCGATTTTAAAAGGGTGTAAAAGGTTGAAATTCCTCCTTATTCGCAAAATTTTAAACGCCGAATCGAGTTTGTTGAAATGGATTGATTATAAACTATCCATTTCATAGTTTATATTGATTATAAACTATAAACTGGCAAATTTTAAGTAGGACTTATGTTTTCAACATTTTCGACGAGGTGGAATATGTTTTGAACAATGAAAATTTGAATTCGATTTTGTATTCATTGAAATTCCACATATAAGTTACATTGCCAAGCATCAAGCCTCAAAAAGCGGGCTTCAACAAAGAATTTTACACATATGTATGGAGTTAGAAGAGCAGATAAAAAAAGTGAGCCTGCAAAATAATGTGGCTTAATTTATTCATTCTGAGATAACGTGGCCTGTTTTCATTCCAGCAAGCATATATTAAAACTTCCTATCTTATTTCTAAAATGTTATTGTTGGAGATTGACATTTTTAGTGCAGCTTCTGCTCTTTTTAAACTACCTCGTTTTTTACTTGAATTTCAACTATAATAACGGATATTTTTCTCTTGTTATTTTATGACCTGCTCTTTTGATATCTGCTGTCAACTGATGAGCACCGTTCACAAAAGCAAAACTTTTGTCACCTCGAAGTTTCTTGCTTGAACTGGCATTGTTGGTTTTAAAAAATGCTGGAGAATAATTACAAAAGGCTGTTCTCGTCCGTATCGCCAAAAACAGTTCTTTTTTTTTTTTTTAGCTTATTCAGAAAAGAGCCGTTATGTATGCCTAAATTGAAAACATTATTTCTCAACAGGGAAGCAAGAATGATGGTTTTAGAAGAAGACTTCGTCAAAGTTATTTTACGTCGCTGGACCCCATTGGATGATGATGCGCTGGAGACGGAAGTCAAAACAAGCGCTTCTCAATCTGCTGTGAGACAGGACTCAAAGAAAAGAAATGAAAGTTAGTCAAAACGCAAGTTTCTTGTTCCAGTACGTTTTCAAGAGTGCTTTCATGAGACACATCTTCTGCGTGAACTTAATAACTTTCCATTTTTCCGAAACAGACGTTGAATTATTTTTCTTCTTTGCATCACATTTTATGGCCTTAACGCAAATAATCGAATGAACGAAATGCGTTTGAAAAAAATCAAGGTACGCCTTTTCTGGCGATACGTATGGCGTGTTAATTTTTAAACTTGAAGGCATTGATTTAGAGCGATTCTTTCTACACTACGCTATTTTCAGAATGATACAGTCTTGAATACAATCAACAAACTCAAACAATGGTTTTCTATTACAGTATTTCATGATATTAATATCCCATCAAGTCAATATTTGCAATGTTTTTGCCATTGAAATAATATCTGGTTTTGAAAACTAATATGCTGTACTTATAATTACAGTGAGACCTCCACATGCGGGCACCTTGACATGGGGATAATATGACATAGGAAAATTTATTTTTCCATAAAAAGGCATAAAAAGGCCTGACATCTGGACACTGACTTGATTTGCAGACATTGCATGATAAAATTGCCATTAAATTTCCAAAAAATTGACTTTTATTTGGCTTAATTGCAAGAAATATTTCCAACCCTAAGATCCATGCAAGATAAATTCTTTGGTATTTCTCCCATCATTTTCCCATCCATTTTGCTAATTTTAAAAATTACCTATAGCATAGAGGAACTTCCTTCTTGCTATGTGACTTGAATGTTATTTTTACAGATGTTAACATTTCAATATACTGTACAGAGGTACACCATTCAATGCTCCAAAAGTTCTTATTGGGTTGAAAAGATATTCACGGAATCAAATTCAAGTGGCAAACAAATTTTTTCATGGTATTCATAGAGCATTCCTTCCATAAAACACCAATTAAAAATTATATAATGTAAGTCTATGGGGAAACAAGACTCAACTTAGGGACATTTCAACTTAGGTACACTCTTCATACTCGAATTACATCTGCATCTGGGTGTCTTACAAACAGTTAGCAAACTGTGAAGTGCTAACTGGAACTGTGACAGGAGATTTCATCCTACAATAAGTTTCGCTGAACCACAAATATTTGAAATTCCGAAATTAAAGTCTACGGTGATTAAGGAACTTTTTCTGATTATTGAAGCATGTGCAGAAGGTCTGCATTCAAATTATCTTCTATACGTCATGAAATCGAATTTCGTTTCACATTCGCAGGGCATATTTTCCATTATTCTGAACTAAAAATAAATAGCAATGCTTCCTATACATTCCAGTTGATATGTTCATGATTATTATCTTCCTCGTCAATTAGTCGGAAGAAGACTGCTCGGAGTTTTCATTGTCATCCCGGCATTGATGATCGTCGTGCAAGGCGAACTGGGCATGAAACTTTTTGCGACGGACGAAAAGAAACGACATCAATGGCAATTATTCATCGACCGCTTTGATCTGGTCTACACTATCTTGCACGCCATAGAATACTCTCTCGTCGTGGGCTTGTTTTTCTGGAACCGAAAATTGCAAAAACTCCGTCAGACGATGAATGAAGACCAGTTCCAAGCGTACAAGCAAGAGCGAAGCGGGCGTTTTTCCACATTCATGATTGAAGTGATTATAAGTTAACGAAAAAAAAAATTGAACCTCATCCCGATTTTTTCTTTCTTCCTTCTTTTTTTTCAGACCTCTGAAACAGTGAGTCGCTTTGGGAATCATGTGTCGCTACTGGAAACCATGGTCGTGCTGTGCAGTGTTTTATTTACGCTGTTGCACTACGTCGATGTCGCAGTTCCGCGATTTTACGAAATCAAGCATTTTCCTGTCACTTGGGCGATTTATAGTTTGCGAGTCAAGATTATTCGACTTCTTCGTCTTCCCAGGCAAATTTTATTTTTATTTTTAAATTTACACTCGTGATCGCGATCCCGAAATAGCGCGAGTATGCAAACCTTGCTCGGTGCGCCAAAAAGAGCCAGGCTGATTTTGCAGGGTTATTTGTTCCTGCCATTTTTTCGAAATTTTTGGCCCTCAAATGCGTCGGAAGAAAAATCTCCATTAATTTAGAAACTGAATGTCAGAACGTTTGGTTCGAAACATTCAGTTGGGATGAAAAAAGTCAAAACTCATCTAGATATTGTCAAGAGAGCACGCGGTTATTAGTAAATAAGCAGGAAACACATAGATACAATAAAGTGGCATATTTTTATGTTTGTGCTAATTCCTACCATGAAATATAGCGGTGTTCTCCAATTTGTGATCTGCGGACTAGCACTGGTCCGCAGAAGTTTTTTGCCAGTCTGCAGGAAATTTTCTTCCACATAATAAATGTATAAAATTAGCAATGAAGTCTGTCAACTTTATCTGAAAATTTGGAAAGACAATGTCAGTCAAAATTATTTTATGAAAAATTAAAGTTGGCCTTTCTCCTATTATTAATGCTTGAAAGCATTCCGCAAAAGCTTTTTCATTGATTCATAACTTAATTTCTGCAAAATAGGAAGTACTTTTCACTACCCATCATAAAATCTTTCAAAAAACTTCTTCAAGTCTACAATTTTCTATTTAAAAAAATCTGCCAGTCCCGCAGAAATTTTCCTGGAAATTTGTAGGTCTGCAAAATTTGTCTGTAAATTTTCCAATCTCTGGGGCTCAAAAGGTTGAGGAACCTGGGAATATAGCTTCAAAATAATGGCAAAATTTCTGAATAAAAAAGTTCGCATGAATTGATGAAATAGCAATTTAAAATTTTCGTGCTCACTTGGTCAATCATGTATTAGTGTGAGACGGTGTCTGAGGTATCAAGCACAGAAAAAATTTTGTGCAACTCATTTATGTAATGTAAATCGGATGAGTTACGGGGTGAGCTTTCTCCAGACCGAATATCAATGCATGTCCAGTAATAAAAATAACGAACCGGCCAAAATCAATCTAAGCTTTAGCGACATTTAGTTGACCCAAATAATGCTTCGTTCGGTTTTGTGTGGTAACATCTGCAATTGCTCGGAAGCAAGCCCTGGTTTACGTCACGTAATTATTGGACGCAGCACTCAATTATCCAGCAGCAGGCACTATTATATAGGGTTCTTTTTTCAGATATAGCGTAGTTTCTTTTTCCGTGATTTAAAAAAATTTTTTTTGGATTTTTTGACAATTAGATTCGTCTTCGAGAGATCATACGACAAGCTGATGCATGCGATTTTGAAGCCCATGGTGACGTACTTCTTCCCACTGATGGTCTTGCTGTTGTTCCTCATCACGATCTCGGCACTCATAGGCCACTTCCTGTTTGGGTTCCACGCTGCGAACGAGAACCCCGAGATGGATTCAATTGCTGATTGGATAACGATCCAAAAGTCGTTTATGTCAGTGTTGGATTTTTTCCTGGGCGATCAGTGGGGAGACGTGTATGAGACTCAAAGCAGGAGACCGTCGAACCAAAACAACACCGGGAAACAACTCGTCGTTGGCCTTTTTGTTGTGGTCAGCGTCGTGGGACTCGGGATCATTTACGCTGCCGTTTTCATCGCTGTGCTCATTTTCAAGGTGAAATGTGCATAAATTTGAAAAGCGGGTCAAGTTCATTGCTTTTTTATGAAAGATTCCTCATAGACTGGAGCGAATGCATTCCGGTATCCCGTTCACTTGATTCAGTTTTAATCTAGGAGAGCTTTGATCTTCGAAATACTGCGTGCAAAAAGTTGTTTTCTTCATTTGCGTGTGAGGCCCAAAAGATGCAGCTGTACATTTTCGATTGAAGCTTCTGTGAGTCAATATAAAGCTCCTCAGTTCAAATTTCCATTTAATTTCTCTCCTTCGGATACATTTATTTTAAGCCTTGCTAAGTTAAATCTTGTTGGCTCCATGCTTTCTAAATTTGTTGTGCTGTAAAACTGGAATTAAATGTCAGGACTACTCATACAGAAAACTGTGCAAGTACAATTTGTAATTTTATCGTTTTTTGAAACGCGATTAGGAAACCTGCTGTTTGAACTTTTATGAATTATGAATAAACCCTTTCAACAGAAAATCGAGTCATATTCCCTAGCTCAGAAACTCCCAAACTATTTGTTTTAGATTCCGGTTGAATTTAACTTAAATAGGTTCGACTTTGCTAGGAAATAAAAGATTTCTTAATATACCCTAAATTCAATCAAATTCGCATTACTCGAATTTAATCAAGTCAAACTATGTAACACATATAGTTCCATAGAACCTTGAAAGATTTGGTGCGATGCTGAAAAGGGCGGAAATTCTCTTGTCAGACTTGGGTCCTATTTTAATTATTTTTTCAGAGACATCTTTGATACCGTTTAGCATGTATCTTTTTTTCCTCAGTTGAGAACGGGTGGTATTCTATAAAGCAATGTACTGCGTATTTTTGAACAGACACGTTAAAATTTTGCATTTATATTTCAATCGAGGGGCCGAAGATAAAATGCGAATCTCACCAAAACTCCGAGGATTAAAATTTTCGTTTCAGCGTTCCGACTCCAGATTGATTGATTCCCTTTGTTTGTCGAAGTACACAGTACTGTAAAATTGCATTTGGATAAGATTATTTTTTCTTTCAAGTGAGCGATAATTTTTGGTTTTCCTTGTTTTGAGGACAGGTGGGAGAGTTGAACGAGGAGGAAGTGGAGTCAAACGAGAGAGAAGAGCAGCGTCGGAAAATCGAGAAGCGACTCGAGGAGTACGAGGAGAGCCAGCGTTACATGTTGCACCTGCTTGAGGCGGGCAGACTCAAGACACTCAGCGATTTGCTCGAACAGCAGATGTATCGATCCTTTAAATTCCTCGAACTCGTCGTCAAAGACCGACCCAGAACCACTAAGTAAGCCTCGGCTTTTCCCTTAGTCAAATGTCGGGGCACATTAAAAAAAAAAATACAGTTGAACCTCTCTATAATTCAAGATTCTAGGGACTAGGAAAAAAATTCGACTCAGGGAGTTTTTGATTTTTTGAAGTTTTCAGTAAAGGAAGCAAACATTTTTGATGTGAGGAAAATGTTAAAAAAAATGTATGGGAAATTGTAACAGCTTGCTGAACTTGGAGGCAGGGGTTCATTCGTATCAATTCGTCTTTCACTTCATTTCAAGATGCATATTATCATTTGTTTCATTGATTTTCTCTTGCTTCAAGGAAATAAGGACAGACAATTAAAATTTGGAAGACGGGAAGCAATCGAGGTAATGATCATTCTGATCATCCGAATAGTTAAATAGCTAAGGGGATGTTCAGAAGTGTGTTAGGAATGTTACAAGATCCACACAAAAATTGACGAAGAGCGGAAATTTAATTAATTCGGCGTAATTGAGAAATATACTTGATGATTTCTGAGTTGATGGCCCGCCCTGTTCTATCTGACGTCTCGAGGAAACTGAAAGATTTTCATTCATTATAATTATAAACTTTTCACTCACTTTTTACGTTGGTAAACCAAAAAAATGCTTGCTTCGTGTATTGTTTGTTATTTCCAACACTTCAAAAACAAACCACAAAACGATATTTCTGGGACATTAATCAGATTTCGTCGGACACCGGGAATTTTTCACGACGATCAGATTTATTTGAACGGAAAATGTAGAAATTGTCGCTTAGTACTGAAATACAGTACTGAAGAACGAGGTCTCGGAGAATTACTTCCGGTAGGTGCTCGTGGATGTCTCAATATTAGCTTTGCACTGTCAGTACTAGAAATCGGAGTATTTGTCAAGCTGAAGGATTAAACGAGGGGTACTTCTGGATCCTTCCGGTACTCAAAAAAAGATATGCTCTCTGAGAACTATATGCTTGAAAGAAGAAAAGGGGGTCCGATTTTCAAAATCTTGTCAAGCAACAGATTTACGCACCAAGGTCAAGACCTAATTAATCTTCAAATACAGCGCTAAATCTTCTTGAATGGATTATTGCTTGCGATTTTGATAAATCTTGGGCAATTCTTGCTGCAGATTATGGATGGAAGGATTCGTGACTTCCCTCAACTGGCTCACAGCGACCCACAGGCATTTATTGGCTATTTATCATTACATGGAAGCAACAATGGACGAGGCAGATAGAATAGCGTTGCAAATTGTGCCTTCGCCAACTCGGATGAACAGGATGAACGTCCGTCGAAGTTTGCACGGCCAGCAGCAGTTTGAAGGCGAGGATTTCGAAGAACATTGATCACCGGTGCCATCATTTTTCGTCTTTTACTCGATGAAACATTTTTTTTTTTTCGTGACACGAGTATACGATGGACGTCGTTAAAGTCAATTCGACTTCTCTCCAGCGGAAAATTTAGAACCGATTTTCGATTGCTTTCATATTCCTCGTTGGATCCCTGTGACAATAAAATCCGGATCGATCGGATCGTTCCTGGCGCCAACGAATCCGGATCCGTCGTCTCCTGAATTGTTCCCACTCGACTCATGGTTTTTAGTAGCAAAATATAATCGTTTTGTTCAATCATCCGAAGAAAGAATTGAATTTTATTCCAGCCAACTGCAAATAAATTATCGCATCGGATTGTTTCAATCGTCTTTCCAGCACCTGCTTTCGAGCGATCGACGCGATTTCCCGTCCCTTCCACAATACCGGGTGGACCAGGGAAATTTATACAAGAAATGTCCTAGCCGCAATACTTTAAAAAGCCAGAAATAAGTTGAAAACCCGAATTTTTGGCTTCAGTTCAATTGTTTAAAATATTGTACTCCAGTATTGTACATAATGGTTGCCGGAAGCAAATCAGAAACCTCCGAAGTAGGATGTTGAACATTCAAATGTCAAATTCTCAAGAACTCTGCTGCTTCTGGACAGTTGATTTCTCTTGAAAGTAAATATAAATGCTTAGCAGTTTAAATTGGCAATTTGTATTTATTATACAGTATCTGAATTTGTGTACTTCTGAACATTTATAATACACCCATGCAAATACAGTAACATTTTAGTGATGTTTCGAACGTAATACTCTATTTTTAATCTATTAAACATAGAAGAGCGAGAAACTTCCGTGCATTGAATTGAAGCCGATTCGCATTTTTTTCTTTTATTCCAACATTGAATAGAATCTTATTTTTCCCATTGTTCATTATATATTTTTTTACTTGAAGTAATCACCGGTTGAAAATCATGTGCAAATGTAGGTTTTAATAAAAATTATGCCTCCCGCATTTGTCTGGTTGATGATCAAGAGATGATCATTCGCTTCCAGGTTTCGTCTTCATTTTTTCTAAAAGTTTCAGACCCTAAAATGCCAATAAAGTTGAAAATTTACACATAAGAGAATCTTTTGCCGGACCTTAATGCTTTCTCTTCTTTTTTAACCCGTGCTGGCAGATGGTTGTTGAAGCTACTGTTATATCCACAAAGGGAATGGATAATCCCTGACCTGGTGTTTGATGCGACTTTCAATGATGATCGGATTGAAAGGAGAAAAAAAATGCCAAAAGCCGCGGCACGGGCCCAAAAAGTCACTGCGCCCTCTTTCGGGATCATCCCTTTGTGTTCCAGGCAAACAGGGAGGAAAACGGCACATTTCCTCATTGTGCGTCAATTTCCCTTGCGGAGGATTTTCCGCAAATGTGCGGGGAGGAAAATGTGCAGAAACAGGGAAAAGGGACTGAAGGTTAGGTTTTGCTCTCTTTTTTGTAGCTGATTTTTGTGGGGGGGGAAAAGTCATGATAACGGCACAAGCTTCGGATAAAGATGGAAGGGGTTATTTGAGCCTAATGTGCAGCTGCTTCGACGTTTTTCCAACACTTCCTATTTATTCTCACATCCACGAATAAGGATATAAAGAACTGAATCTTTATCGTGTTCATACTGTATTTAAAATTCTTACCATGCGTAAACACTGAAATCTTCTCTCAACATTTTGACTAACGTATCGTTTGTGATGCGCACGGATTTTGGAGCTACTCGTTTCAGAAGCCTCAAAACTTGAGTCGATTACTTTAAATTTTGCAAAAATATTAATCATGCGCATCAATCATCTAAAAAATTCATTCATCTCGGAAGTTTTCGAACATTTGAATGTTCTAAAGAGCGATATTTCCTCACGGGAGACATTCATTGTATTGTACACTATACTTCTAAAAAGCAGATGCATCAAAATAAAATTATCTTTATCAAATTTGAATTTAATCTTCATCAGCATGACTTTCGATCAAGTACGAATTTTATTCCTTAAACAAAAAATAAGTCAGGTGGCGAATTCCGTTCACATTCTCACGCTTAAATTTCGTCTTGAAACGGAAGCTGGTTCAGAATCAGATACCGACTGACAGAATAAATATTTCTTTGAAAGAAGTTCCCCACCTGTCCTCTCAAAAGCTGTGATGTGTAAGCTTGATTTCAAAAGCACCCACAAACAAGTGAAGAATTTTGGCAGTGACCCAATTAACGAACTACCTGCTTTATAAAAAAAAAAAAGAGGACTAAATGAGGGCTGACGGACGCTCTGCGTTCGTGAATACCAAGCTTCATGTTCGAATCAAATGAGCCCCGGGAGTTGTCACAGCATCGCTCGGTAGAATAAGGAGCTTGTCGTGTTGTGCAAACATGCAGAAGGGCAAAAAAAAAAAAGCTGGGACAGGGATCCAAAGAAAAATAGAAATGGCACTCAAAAGCTAATGTCAACCTCGGGTGGCGTTATTGTGCGCACGAGCGCAGCTCGTCGGGATCAATCGAGCGGCCGTGTCGCTGTCACTCAAAAATGTCACAACATCCCCATGCTTGGAAAAAAAAAGAGAGAAGACCAGGATCTGCAAAAAGGAGAAAAAGTAAAATCATCTGCCAAAAGACCTGGCATTATCAAGAGCAAACGAACCGTTGCGAGGAACACTAGCAGTGTAACATTCGTCGGTGATTTGTCCTTGCACAGCTAGCTTTCGTAGTCGATCAACTACTGTATATATAAATAAAATTGATAAAATTTCTCAAATTCCAGTTGACGTGTATCCGGACAATAAATTGGGACAATAAAAATTTACTTAAGGTTTTGATAAACAGATGAGCAATATTCCCTTTTTCATTCATCGCTCATTCAATCAAGCGTTTGTCCATCATTTTGAGTGCGAAAATTTATTTGCGAAATGTCGAAAGACCTACTTCAATTACTATTCGATCGATTGATCAATCAGCAAGCTTTATCATCCTTCGTTTTTCAGCATTCATCAGGTTCAAGCAATAATTTTCCCACATCCAGATCCCCTCCCCTCACCACCCACATTCTTACAAACACTTTCCATCCCATCACAATGGAAAAATAGAGAAATGAGCTGTACATGGATATTCAAAGAAAAGAGAATACATCCCAAATTGTGCAATTGCACAACTGACGTAAATGCATGCACTTTCTTCCCCTCCCCACTAACAAAAAGAGAATATATCAGTGATACGAATTGCAGCAGAAGGCAATTATCGAACCCACATTAACGCACCAGTTAAAGCCTGCTCCCAGCTAATTTTTTCTATTTATAACCAGCAAGTCAATAATAATTTCCCCAAAAACTCCTCCCCCGCCTCCCCCGATTTTTTGGGCTAAATTCTGTGCAGTACTTGAGAACAATTTTTGGAACCACAATTACTGGAAAAAAGTACTGTAAGTTGAGGCCTCTAAGTAAAGCGAATATAGCCTTCGTTTAACTACCCATGCTAATGTCTTTTAATAAATTCCAAAATGATGTTTCGTGTGAACTTTTTTCGCGACTATCAATTTGATTGCTTTTTTTGCGGCCAGTAAAAGAAAATATACTCAAGCCTCTGCATGGACGAGCACGAAAGATGAGGAAGAAACGTGTTCATGCCCATTCGTAGAAAAACTCAACCCGTTATTGGTGTTGAAACCTCATGCATACGGCAATGATCATGATACACGAGCAAGAACACGAACAACACGTTTCACCTCGAATAAATTGCCCCCGAGAGATTAAATACCACGAGCTCCGGCTGAGCAATGAACTTATTTTATTTATTTTTATCATGGAATACGGATAATAAAAAACTGTAATTCCTCTGTTCTCTCTCCATCTCTCAGAATAAGACAGAATTATCCACACACACAAAAAAAAAGAGGCGATAATAATAAGAATTCCGCTGCAACAAGTTTGTATTATTATTTTTCATTGCTGCAAGTACCGCAACCATCACGAGCTCGATTCATCATCGTAATCAGCGCTTTGAAGGTGAGCGTGTACGTCGAACCCAAAATTCCTTTTGTGCGTTTTCTGCTCATTTTCAAGATACTATTTTTAACGGTTATTAATTCGAACGCAGCTTTTTTTGTGTGTTGTTTTCTGAGATGAACCATTCCTTTGTAGGAACGTAGACCAACTTTTTCAGCTTATTCCAAGAAATTCCAAAATAAGAAGTCTGGACTCGGATTGCATAAATTCCTGGGTTTTTTTTCGGTTTAGATATAGAGTAAAAGTACTGTACTTGAGAAATGTTTGTGAGGGGTACTGGCAATTTCTTATCTTGTAATTTTAGCTACTAAATCGATATGTACATACAGTTTAAAACATGAGACCCGCGGGAGAGTTTTTTTTAACCTGTATCTATTTTCTTTTAAACATTCTGCAATAATGTATATACCGACTGAGTTGGTATAAAAATTCATTTGACGTCAGTAAAGAGAATGGAAGGTCCCAAATTTTTCACTTCTGCATGAAAATGCTTAATTTTATACCTTATCTAAACGAGCATAAATTGGGCAGGGAATTGGTTTTTGAAAAACAATATACAGTACTTGAAAATAAACGATCTTTGCTGCCCCATGAAATGTAATAATAACTGACGCATCTTTCAGTACATTCATCCCCTTCTTACGTCAAGGAAATGGCTCGGATAAAGTTTGATTTGCTTCTCAATATTTTTAGTGTCGCAAAATCCAGCTCCTTCATCCTTTTTGGGGTAAAGAATCTTAATTTTATCAAAATTTTCAAATCTTTTTTGAAGTAGAAGTGTTTTTTCGAGGGCAGAGCCCATGAGGTGTGACATTTGGCCTTTTTATTTAATCCCATCACCAATATGTCAAAAAGTAATTTCTTTGAAACCGTTCCATATGTCTGAAAATCACATCCCTCCTCCGAATGAATAATGAGAGCTAAATCGAAAAACGATTATTCAATTTCCAAAATTAAAGTAATTTTTGATGACGAGTATCAAGACTTCGTTCTTCATTTCCTATAGTGCAGCAGCGGTGAAAAAGAAAACTTGTCGCTTATTATTTATATTCAAATGTTTTCAGCGTTGCACGACAAGAAAAATTCCGGCATTATTCCCAACAATTCCCACTAAATTTGCACAAATTTCCACAATTTTGCTCTATTTCACGTATATAGTTAGTGTCAGGTTTTTTTTTTTTAAAGCTTCGCGCACATCACATTAAAATGTAATGCCGGGTTCCCAGTTTCACGCGCACAATTTTTTCTTCGGCATTCCTGTAGTCGTGGCAATTATGACAGTATCTTCTTTTCC